ATTAAAAATTTCATTTCACAACTAAGATGTTAGGGTGACATTTAAGATACTGAGATATTTTAAGACGCTAAAAAATTCTGGCTACGTATTCGACAGCTTTTTATGTTCGGTATCTTTAGACTCTTTGTAGTGACTTCTAAAGCATCAACACTATTTTAGATCATCTATGTTGAAGTCACAAGAAACAAAACAAAAAAAAAAGACTATCAATGATTGATACTCCTTTTTCGAAAAAAATAGTATGCTTAGTAAATAATCAGCTGTTTTGCATTAAATAATTGTTAACAGTGGAATGTTTTTAATTTCTTAACAAGGTTTTATTCTTAGCTAGCAGACAATAATTCTTTTTTAAAAAAACTTGACTATAATTTAAAAAGGAACTTCACTTTAAAGAAAACCTAAATTAAAGTACTAAAAAATTCATTAGTATATTAATGAAGAAATAATAAACGTAGTCGGGTAAAGAATAAGACTTCTAAAAATTTTAAAATTTCATTAAATAGTTGGTAAAATAGTACTGCGCACCACTTCCGGACAGGTGATTAAAAAATTACTTCTAACATTAAGACGATATATAAGATGTTGAGAAATTTGCGATGATGTGAGGTATGCTTAAATATGTTTACTATGTATTTTTACTAATATTTATAAAAAATGTATTCAAGAAATTGATAAATATTTTATTTCAAATCTATTCATCGTATGTATACTATTGAAATTGTATCAGTTATTGAGAAGAAAAAACTAAAAACTAAAAAATAATAACATTAAATAAACACAATCTGGTGTATAATCATATTCTATCAGAAGCATGCTTTTATAAAACTCGACATTCGTTGAATAAAATGTTTTTTACTCAATAAGATGTTTTATTCAAATTTCTTTACTAAATTGCATATAGAATTTTAGACTATTAAAAAAGAAGCATCGTATTTTATAGTTTTAAAAAAGTAAAAATAAAAAGATTAGCAAACGAGTATTAGCGAAAAAAATATGAATGAAATTTTCGCTTCGCGCGCTAAGTTAAGTTCCTCGCAAGTTTATCACATTTTAATATTTATCGCCCCACTTAATCATTTCTTTATTGTCGCCAAATTATTTTTTTTTAAATAATTAATTTCAATTTTTCTCCTCTTCTAATAAATAAGAACAGTTGAAACTTCAGATTTTTCAATTGAAAAATATGTTGATTAAAATGGTATAAAAAAATTCATACCTTATAATTCAACTTTTTTTCAAATAATAAATAATTGTTAAAAATTATTTTTTTCATGAAATTATCTTTGGGTAAATGAGTTTTATGAGTGGGTGCATTTTTTTTTGAATTGCTTCATTAGTTTTTAAAATATGACTGAAAACGCAAAAAGCGAAATTAACATTAAGGGGCCCGAACTTTGAATCGCTCTCCTGACCAAACTATGGGGACCACATTTCCCAGATTGCGGCTACCCCCTACATTTTTAAGATGAAAAATCCAAATATGTAAAAAAAAATGTATGTTTATTCAGAGAAAGTACACTTTTGTGTCTGATTTCGTAACTTAATTAATAGTTAGCACTATTTGAGGTCACCTCCAGTAACCATTAAGATTGACTTTTAGTTCGTGAAAATCCGATCATTAGAACGAAAGTTATTCAGGGTGATATCTTTTTTTTTTTTGCGGACTGTACAACGTAAACAAGGCTTATCTCTTTTTAAAGTGCTTAAAAACAAAAATGTTTGGATTTAAATTTTTCTAAAAGCAATATAAAAATCTTATCTTATTTAAAATAATGGTTTGAATTCTTCAAAATTATGCATCGAGCCACGATGGCTCAGGGGTTAGAGCCTTCGCCTTTTAGTGTGGTGAACCCGGTTCGAATCCCACTGAATGATCCGCATTCCACATCCGGCTTGCACCGACCACAGTGCTGACGGGAAATTTCCTCAGTGGTAGATGGATCATGGGTTGGAGTCCCTTTGCCGTCAGGCTGACGGTGGGGGGTTCTCGTGGTCTTCCTCACCATGTAACGCAAATGAGGGTTAGTTCCATCAAAAAGTCCTCCACGAAGGCAAATCTTGTCATCTGGATTGGGTTCGAAATTTCAAGACTACGTAGTAGAACATTAGCAGTCGTAAATCCAAAAAGTAGGTCGGCTGTTCAACTACGGTTATAAAAATAAAATTAAATTATACATCAGCTTGCCGTAAGTTTGTCACAAATGTCTGCATCACCAGCATGTTAGTTTCAAGTTCTTTTCTCCGTCTCGCTATAAACAAGAAGATATCAAATCTCGATGATTAACTCCTTTTTATTATTTAAGATTTTGTGCTTGATTGATCATTCCATTCGAGCATTAAGTTTGCTACAGTTTTGTTTTCTGAGAAATGTTTTCAACACATTTCACTTTCTTTTTGTCGGCATGGTCGTTATCTGGGTCATTCCATGGTTGAAGTTCAGCCGAAGCAAACAATATGTAGAAGATACCCGTTATAAAATACAGGGTTGCTGAACTTAAGAACACAAATCCCCAATTTCTCAAAGTTTGCTAAAAAGGAAAAAAAAAGTATTTGAGATACGTATTTTGTATTCAGTGTCTTAAAATATGCAAGATAAGCGATATACAATTAATTTCTGCACTTATGAATACTTCATATTATGTGGTTTATTTCTTCAAAATTTTGCTACCACTACAATACAATTTCTGTCCCGCAGTGGACTGATTGTTTAGACACGATTCCCAGCAGAGCACCGAAGTCAAGCATCACTGGTTACGGTCAGTGTGCGGGTAGGTGAACACTTGGATCAGCCTGCGTAGGGACCTAAGGTGTGCAATATTGGTCCTCGTTAAACTGTTCAACCGTAAAGAGCTCGATTTCGCGTGCAGTTCGTTGGGCTACCGAAGCGGGGGTGCCATCCCCTCTGCAGAGGATCACAATTGTGATGGCATGTCTTCGGATCCTAGACAGTAGCCAATAGCCCATTGTGCAGCTCTAGTGCGACGTAAATGAGCAACAACAACTACCAATACAATTTCTAGGCCATGCCATATCAAAGTCTGAAGAGGTTGCACTGGTTCGGTTTTAAAAACATGCGTAAAGATTTATTTATTTATTGTTACAACATACATTTAGAAGCTTGTGTGCTCAATTAAGGCTTATAAACCAAAATCAAATAGAAGGGCAGATGCAGAAAAGGACAGCCTCCAGACACGTCACTTGGTACCTTAGGTCGTTTAAGACCCCTAACCCATTAAGTGGTTCAGTGCCGGTAACTCCTCCGGCGAAACCACAGCCGCGAGAACGAGCCCGGACGTTAATCAGCCCCGTCTTTTATCGACAACGGGCCCGCCCACCTCACTGATGTCGGGGGATCTTCGGCACGACCTCGCATGTGAAACATGGTTTATCTGAGCTGGATCCTATCTTCATTTTCTAGGGGAACCCCTAGAGGGTGGTTTTTCGAGTCGAAAATTGGCCCCACCTTTCTGATGAGCAGCACGAACTGAAGTTTTTTAACGACTGACTTCTATGCTCAACCGACTGGCGTAGGGGTCGTCTTTAACGCGCCAACGCTGTGCTAAACGACACCAACAAGCGGTTGGCCGGGAAATTTCTCGCCCCTTGTGAACGCCTCTACGAAGAGCCTTTCCCTTTCGGCAATTGTTGGCTCCGAATGTCCAAAGAGCTAACAACTGTCTTAGCCCTTGAGCGGAGTCACTGCATGGATGTCTTGCTCGACGACGATAGACCGTTCCATATCTGTGTTCCAAACCACACTATGACTCGAAACACGCGGGAACGTCGCAGTTACTCTTCAAGAGTATTCCGTTTTTAGCTACCTTCTGCTCCCAGCCCCAGGTCAAGGGGTATGAAACTAGGAGCTTCAGGCACCCAGCGGACGGGACATGGACCCAAACAGATACGTCCTCTTGCAGAAAAGGACAGCACGATGATTCATCCACAGCAACAGCGGGATCCGAACCTGCTCCCTCCACCCTTTGCATAACGTTTGGAGAGCGATACCGCTCGGCCATGGAGGCACCATGTGTAAAGATACAATCTGAACTTTATAAAAATGTTTAAATTATTTACATGCAGTCGGGGGGAGACAAGTCTTTAAAATTTTAAGTTATTAAATGATTAAACCTTAACGGACCGATGCTCCTATATAAGCGGCATAGTAATTTATCTTCTGGGTCACATGATGGCTAAAATCATTTTATTATTTATATCCCGCTAGTGGTTCTCATATTTACCATTTAACTGTAATTAACTATTTAATTGTATTATAATGTATCATTATAATTATACTAGCCAGAGTGCAAGCTCGAAATACTTCGCGGCGGTTCAGAGTTAATGCATTACTTTTACTACCACAGGATAAACACTTCCCGAAATTCCGTAGTCGTTGGAGGATATGCGTATCAGGCATATGATATACTCTTGATTGTGAGAAAATTTCTGTTCTTCCAATTCACCCCTTTTGTTTGAGACTTTCTTCCGCAACTGCACAGATAGGAACTATTTATTTCACATTACGATCTAAACTTATTGTGTTTAAAACCATTGGCGAGAACCAATATTTCACATTATTGATTTGTTGTTGTTTCCACTGTCACTTGCCAATACCAGCAAATCTGGTCAGCGAAACTAAGTGAATGTAATGCAGAGGGTGCGTTTCTTATTTTTCAGTGACGCAATCTATGGATAAGAATACGACTTCAGCCCCGAACACACGTCAAAGCTTGTTTTATCAGGCAGACCCATTCATACATCCATTTATTCGTCCACTAATTGTAATTTTGACCTGAACCAGAGAACGATTAATCTCCAATTCAGTATTCCCAGAAGTATTAATTAGTTGTAGAAACTTGGAGGACTTAATGACTCAACAGATTAACGCGCACCGGTCACCATTTACTTCGGCCGGTGAGAATCGAACTTACGACCTCTTGGACATGAGCTCTACGCCCTTCCAACCAGGCTATACCGGTCAGAAAGTGCTTTAATCCAGCTTGTAGAAAATCCTGTTGAAACTATTTTCTGCTTTTTCTATTAGTGGGGTAAATCAGAATTTTTTTTGTGATGACAGTCAAGATATTATGCCAAAAACATAATTATTTTAAGATGTTTTGCACTGCCTTGTAAACGCAGAAAAAAAATTTACTCCAGCGTTTTTTGAAAAGGAGTAAGAAGCTCTGAAGCCTTTTCTAATTATAACGATTCAATTCTGGTTTCGCAATATTATCGGTAAATCACCATTTACTGCATGGGAAGTCTACGGCCGGCAGGGATAGACCACTTCTACTAAAGTCCCACGTCTTCCCAACAAGGCTATCACGACCCATATTGATTTTTTAAAACTTGGTAATCCTCAGAAAATGCAACAGATTACGACCCAAACATCATTTTGCGAAAAAGAAATGCATTTCAAACATTCTGTTCCCATGATTTAAAATTCTAATGGTTTGCTCACTTCTCCAAAAATGGAATCGCTGTACTAAATTATCCTGAATAATAAACTTTAAAAAAAATATTTAATATTAACTTAACGAAGCAGATAGGAACATACTCCACTTTTGAGGACATATCCATCGAATGCTGGTGCCAAAAAACCTGGTAATGTTGAAATTGCATTTGTTATTCCAAAGACAGTTCCTAAAGAAGAAAAAGTAATATTTAGTTACTCATCACTTTATCCTTAAATGATTAAAGCATATAAAAGAGTGAGTTAAAGGTGGAAACTTTCCCCGTTTTAGGGATATTAATTTCTAGTTATAATCCGTTTATTTAATGGTTTAAAATTTCATTTCATAATGCAAGCACGGTGCAACGAGTGCTTATTTGTCTTCCTAAATATCAGGGAAGATAAAGGCGACTAAAACTGTTAAAAAATGGTAATAACTTAATGAACTTTTATTTATATATAATTCTTTTATTATTTAATCGTAACTACTACTATAATTTGCATTTTAAATTATTTAAATTTTAAAAAAAACCACTCTATAGATAAAAAAGTTTTTAATCAACAAAGATAAAGTTTTTAACTTAATAATTTACCACATTTTGTTTTTTTTATTCGTCCGCGGCAAATCCTGAGTTAGTGATTTACTCGACCTTAAATGTAGTGGTGTATAAAATAACCTAAAATCAAACTTGAAAAGCAAGGAATAACGTTTAAAAATTAACAATCACGAGAAGAGATTTTCTCAAAAATAATAGAAAGCTCGCAGATCTGGTTATTATTGTAACAAAAGTTAAACAAATATTTTAACACATTTTGCTCTACATTGGTTAACACGGTGAATGCCACGCTAATTTTACATGGCTTGCTCGTCTGGCCACATAGTACATAACTACAAACTAAATTAGCAAATGTAGACAGACATATCTGATACTTAATATGGGTGGAATCTCGGTGTTAGGCGCGAAGCGCCACTAACCGATTCATCTATACTAGTTTGCCATGTGCGGAGATGCCAACTGCTCCGGACACGCCAAAATAATTAAAAGAACGGTAGATAACTTCAAAGTAAATTTCGAAAATATTTGACTACATTTGCTTGCTTTTTAGAAGGTACAGCATGACACAAGTATCAGGAAGTTCTGAATTATATAAGCCTACGAACTATTTTGAAATAGTGGTGGATAAAAATCTACTAAATTAAGTTTATTAAATCAAGAATCACAATTGATAAACTACCACTTTAAAATATATATTTGTTGTCCGGAGCAAGTTGGCATCTCTGCATGTGCTCTGAGGTCGTAGGAATATTAAGCCTACGAATTGTTTAGAAATAGTGGTGGATAAAAATCTAATATATTGAATTTATTAAACCAAGAATTGCAATAATTAAGTAAATTTTGAATACGTTTTCTGCAATTCCATAAAAGAGTGTAAATTTTATAGTTCTACATTATGTTATACGCTGTCAGCGAGTTGTCTTTCGCGGCCTATGTGAAAGGTCAGTGTCAGCAGGGGTGAAAGCGAGACGGAAACGAGGAAAGGCTGGTAGTAAAACTATTTCAGTTATAGCTAGTTTTGGGGAGGAGTTTACTTATTCTTTTTTTAAATTTTTCAACAATATCTACTTTATCTTGGAAAAGAAGCAGTTTTATATATATGCCAGAATTATAAAAGAAATCTTGATAGTTACAGATATTTCANGGCTTTCACCCACATACCCTCCAACTTATGAGGATTTTGAAAATAATTCTTCCTAGTGGTAGCGAACCAAAGTAGAAATTTTTAAAACAAATGGATCTCTCATAAAACTTTTATCAGAACTTAAGAATCTAGCCATATGGCCTGCACTTTTATAAGTAATAGTGGACAAGTTACGCTAAAATTATTTTTTTAAAAATATTAAGACATTAATTTTGCTACCGTCTGAAAAGAAGATTTCTGAAACTACGGAAATTCCGTAGCAGTTGGAGGGTATGCACCCATGAGTGTCAGCAAGCTATGGCACACGCAGCCTAAATGTAATTTCAGTGTCAGCCACCGGTGGTTGACGTAGCCTAAATGTAATTTCAGTGTCAGCCACCGGTAGTTAACGCGGCCTAAATGTAATTTCAGTGTCAGCCACTGGTGGTTGACACGGCCTAAATGTAATTTCAGTGTCAGTCACCGATGGCTGACGCGGCGCTCAACGTGTTAATACCAATGCTGATACATAATATGCATTTTACAAAGTTCTTCTAAAATTAAATGGAAAATTAATAAAAAAGATATCAAAATAAAATATTTAAAAAAAATACGTTATTGAATAATACTTACCAGCAAATCGTGGACTCATATCAACGTTATTAACTATGAATCCTGAATATATAAATCCATTCAAGCCAAAAGATAAAGATAATAATATGATTATGATAATTGGCCGACAACCAATAAGGGCTATAGCTACTGCGCACAATCCTGGTCCGAAAAGTCCTAAAATTAAGAAATTGAAAGAGGAAAAGCTTATTGAACATAATCATTGATTTTTTATATTACGAAAATATTTCAAATCATTCCTGAAAGTTTCCCGTGCATGTAAGTACATTTCGCTCTGTTTTTTCTTTATGTTTTTTATTTTCTGTTTTTTACGTGATATATTTTTTACTTAATGTGTTCTGTCTTTGCTTCAAATTTTTTTAGTGCTCCTCACACTATTGTGTTAATTTAATTTGCTCTGGCTTCATTCATACAATATTACAAAGCACTCCTTTTTGCGGACATAATCGTGAGAGCTGACGAAGAAATACCTTTTTTTTCAGGCTTTCCTGCGTTTTAATATTATTTTTTAAAATGTATTATTTTAATTTTTTTTTCTTCTCTTTTTAAAATGTGCAAAATTTGGGATTTTGATTTAAACTAAGGTATATCCAATATCCAATCTACCAATATCCAATCGTCCTGAGAAATCGAATTTCAAAGAAGTCTTGCATTTAAATTTCGATTTCTCTGAAGCTAATCAACTGATTTCGTTCAAATTTTGTATTTTGCAATGTGCAATTACATACTTTAAAATGACGTAAAATTTGTATGCTTTACAATTCAAATTGTTTTCGACAATTATTAAATGAAATAATAAAAGTATTGTATATATACTATATATCTTTGGCTAAACGAATTTTATAATAAGGTTCTAAAATTTTTCAAAAGTTCTAGAGATATGGTGAAATACGTAGAAAATAAAATTAACATTAAGGGGTGCAAACTTTGGATCAGTCTCTTGATAAAACTATGGGGATCATATTCCCCAGATTGCGGTTACCCCAATATTGCGGTGGTCAGAAATCTGAATACGTTGAAAAAAAAGTACGTTTATTCAGAGAAATCACGTTTTTGTGACTGATATCATAACTAAAATATCGTCTACACTAATTATTTAGCATATTTGAAGTTACCTCTTTGAACTATTAAGATTGGGTCTCAAAACGTGAAGATCCGATCAAGAGATCAAAAGTTAATCTAGGTGGTCCTCTTTTATATCGCACTGTAATTCAGGAACTTAGTTTTTAAAATTTTATTTATTTTAGTTCTCTGTTTGTTAGTTTATGTTGTAAAGTATCGAACTTATGATTGTATATAGAAATTGCTTGCATTATTTAAAAACCATTAAAAAAACAATTGAGACTTAAAATAATGTGACAGAGTCATTACTCAAATTTGATCATTCTTGCTAATCGAGGTGTAGTCTAATTTTAATGAACGCATCGAGTTAGTCGATAAAATTGTAGTAAAAATTTAGCTGGTAGAGGTCAAGAAATGATTATAGTTTGTGTTGTCTTATCATCCAGTACCGAGAATCATTTAACATTTAAGCACTCTTGCTAATAGGACACTCGGTGAAAATTCAATTAAAAAATTTGACGGAAAGTAGATGGAAAATGAAAGCAAAACAAACTACTGCAATAAATTACATTTTATCAATTTTAATAAAAAACGTATAAATAAAAAAAAAACGTGAATATTTCTGCCCACTATTTCAGCGCACAATACCTCAATAAACTTCATTTTATAATTTGTTATTTTTTATAGAAAACTAATAAGAATGACTGATGATGAATTACCAATTCCAGTTATGAGTTTCCTAATTGTGGTGATTTGTAGATAACCACCTGCTCTGAGAAAATCCGCGAGAACACTTGCAGGCAGCGCAAAAATACACATCATCAAAAATGGGAGGCCAGACAAAATTCCATTCTAAAAATTAAATAAAGTTACATATTTAGAGAATTTCTTAAAAATACTACTGAAAATAAATCTTTTAAATTATCTACCGTAAAATATTTTTGAAATTCAACTAAGAAAGAAGAAAAAAAAAGGTTAAAACACACTGCGCAGTCAAATAAACAATCCCAAGAAACTGAAGTGAACCATTCAACTGAAGTGAAATTAAACCATTTCTTGATGCTCTGGAATCTTGTTTTATTCATTGGAATGCTGATTGTTTTGTTAACAACATTGGTTCGCCCCTTCCTCTCTGTAACACGCGGAAATGCACTTAACTCTATTCACCTCTCAGACACTGTTCTAATTTTCATCTTTTTTTCCCTCTCGGCTTCTGAGGTTTGTCTAGTTTTATTACTCACATTTATTCCTTTTTCTGGTGGCAACTTTACGTTTGTTTATTTCAAATCATTTTTGTTTCTTTACTTTCACGTCTAAAAAGTCTCGAAATCGCTTGAAACATGTCTACTATTATTTTATATTTGTTTATTTATGAAGTGAATGAAGTTTTCCCCCAGATTAAATAATTGTTTCATACTTATTATTCGGTTAATTTTCATAATAAGCCACTGACTTGTCATTGCGAAGTATCGTTGTCTTATCCCCAGAGGTCGCTTGAAGCCCATGAAATGGATCTTATCTGATCCAGAATTAAATTCCTTAATTCCTTACACTACAAGGTTACACTTTGGCACCATGAATTTGCACTCTACCACTTTGAATATTTAAAGTTTTACACTCTAATCTTTAACAACCATTTTTTCTAATGGTATAAATATGTTATAGGGTAATTGTGCAATTGTCTGTGGGTGATTGTATCTTGCAACATCTTGCGTGCGTGTGATTGACTGCACTTTTTCAGACTTTTCAAAGAACCGTGAATGCAAAGTGTTAATTGTTGTGGGATCTCAAAGTTTAGAACTGTGTTCAGGCAACACCTCCTATAATTGCAACCCTCCACACGGTTTCTTATAGGTCGTCCGATAAAACCACTATGAAAGTAAACCAGTTTAGAAACAGTCATTTAATAGAAAATTTAGTAGCAGCAGCCTTTTTCCTATCCGATGGGGTACTGTCCCATAAATTTTAAAAATAGTTGTAAATGGTGGTAAATAAATTTTCACTCGATATTCACCTATATATTTTTGTGCATTTATTATCTTGTATTTTTCCTATTTCTATGAGGCTATGTGGCTACTGTGCACCTGCGAAGCTCGTGGTGAGGCGAGGCAGTCTGCCACAAAAATCTCCTCTCGGTCTTAAATTTGCTTGTTTCATCTCGCTACTTTATTTTAATTTTCTCTCAGTAAATGTTACTGAACGCCAACTTTTACCATTCAATTGCGCTTCGACGATTAATAATACATTCCCACCAGATGAATTATTTAGAGCCCCTTGCGGGGCTGATACTAATATAACTACCACATATGAGTATTTTTAAAATAGAATTCGGGTTCATGCGCACAACTGGTTCACTTTTTAAATAGTCTGCGCACACTACTTAAATACCGTATGGAGCCTTTCTGATTTAGGAGGAGATTTTCCAACTTTCCGAGGAACAGCAAAAATAAAGACTGTTTTTATCAGAAAAAAAAATGTTTTAGGGACACTCATATCGGAAACTTCAAAAGTGTTAAAGAAAACAAGGGTTTATTTTTAAATACAGCACTTTAATTTTAGTAAAATAGTGCTGTGTTACTGCTGATTGAAATTTGTTTTTGTCTAAATTTCTGAAATGCTGAAAATTTTTAAAAATTATGAACTTACTTAATCCATTAATGTCCATCGTCTTTTATATACCCTGCATACTGGCAGCTTTTAACATAATACTCAGAGAAACTATGTTATTGATGTTGAAGATAGTTCGTTAGAAGTTTATTATTCTTAATTCAATTTCTACTAAATGCTTTGTAAATATTATGCATATTTCTATTAATATATCCATCCATCTGTTTTACCATTGTATTTCATGTAACAAAAATCAATATTATCAAATTTTATTCCTTCAACTGTTGCTTATTAATTATTATCAAGCATTTATTTCGAGAAATGAAAAGTATTGGCAAAAATACAGGGTTCCTACGACCTGAAAAGAATAATTGAGTGATAGCTAATATTTTTCAAGACTACTGAAAGATGCTTACATAAATCCTTCAGTTGAGAATTATGAAATTATTCTCGAATTAGTTTTGCTCCTATATATATTTCCTTTAAAGCATTTTATTCATAGTTTAAAGCATCTAGATATTACTCACTTTTGCTACCACTTTTAAAAAAATTTTCAGACCGTGGAAAATCTGAAATATGTTTCTATCAGATCAGTTTAGAAAGAGATAATGCATTGATAACAACCTCATCATATAAATGATTATATAAGTTGGTATCAAATATGATTTGCTACCTGAAAGACTAAATAAAAAAATCACCCAATTTTAGTAAAAAAACTTACACCTGATTTTAATTTGGCTATTTTCTCTTAGTCTTGTATTTAAATCTTCCTCTCGAGGTACTTTTCACGGTTTAAAAACATATGCAACCACTGAGAGATGCCTGTCAACTTTCTACGCTGTTCGTAAAATTTATTCTAGAGGCACCTAGGGTTTTAATGTATTATTTTTAAATAATTTGAACTTTTTTCCCCACATAACTACATATTAAGGATTTAAAAGTTCATAAATAACGCTACTTTGTTCTAACTTTTTCGGGTCCTCTTATACAAAATATATTTTAATATTCCACATGAAGAAGAACTACAGATTATCATTTGACTGTCCAGACTGCATTTGTGAACTGGACGGAGAACTGATAAGGGCTTGTGGCGACATCTCTGTTATTGTCCACTGCCTACTCATAACTATTTATGTTTGATGACTTAATTAAAGTAATAACTCATTTACTAAGCAGCAAATATCAGGACAAAATTTCAACATTTTATTTCTTTCCTTCAAAAAAGCTGTTTCTTAAGAAACAAAGTTTTTTTTCTTCTTTTTCGTAGAAGAATATTCATTTGTCCACTAATTAATGCCCATTTCCAATGTTATTTTATGCTCATCCGTTTTATGAGCGGTAACACCCTCCAAATGCTGGGCAAAGCGGGAGGTAGCGGGTTCAAATCTCGCTTTAATTTGACAACGGTTTATAAGCGTAAATTGAGCACACAAGCTTGCAAATGTATGTAATTCCGATAAAATAAAAAATTTTCTTTCGTGGCGAAGCTTTCGAAATGTTTGCCAAACTACCAAACATTTTGAAAGTTGGCCTTAAAATATTTACCACTCCATAAAATAATTTTGCAAAAAGAGCAGAATTAGGCAGGCCTGCTAAGAGTGAACAAAACAAAAGCCACTGTTTGAATAATAAACAAGTAAAGCCTTAAAGCCATTTAATAAAGTTATTATTATAAACATTAAAAGAGTAAAAACGTTAATATTTAGAGAGGTGGATAATTTATGGTGCAAAAGAACCTTGGAGTGTAAAGGGTTAAAAAAATTGAATTCTAATGGATTAAAGTGGTAGCTCAGGTATATGATTAATATCTATTTCAGAAACTAATCCTTCTTAAAAGATGGTTTTAATTGAATAAAACTCAAATCGTTATTCCTCGTTGAGGTAGCTACGCAACTAAGTAGCGGTAACTAAATCTTCTCTCAAGTACTTTGAAAATAAAATTAGGGTTCATGCGCACAACTGGTTCATTTTTCAAATAATCTGTGCAGACTACTTATAAAATTCCGTGAGGAGGCTTTCTGATGTAGGAGGTGATGCCAGTACTAGGCTGCCAATTAACGAATTAAAACGACTCTTAGTCTACTGCTTAAAAGAAAAAAACTTACATCTTTTAAGTTGAAATGTAAAACATTTGAAAGGTATGTTGGCATCATAGTCAGCGAATTGTAAAAAGTCCAATCATGTCCGAAATAGGCAACAACCAAGGCCCAAAATGGCATTAATGTCCATATTGATTTCCATGGAATTTTGGCATCCTGTAAAAATGAAATACTTGAGCTAGTTTAATTTCCTTCAAAAAGGTTGACAGTAGATATTTTATAATAATATCCCTGTCATTATATGAATACATTTTTGAATGTATAAAATCAGTTAGGTATCTTTGGCATGAATACACGTTGAACAAAATCTCTATAGTGATGCGGACAACGTATAAGCTCGTCGTGTAAAATAAAATTTTTTATTGACTATCAAAACTCAAAATTTCAATAAAATACAATAAGAACATTATTTGGTGGTATGTTTCCTTATTATTTCCAATTTTTAATTGCAAGGTGGAAAGCGGCTCCCAGCATATAGTCCAACTACATACGTAAACTGTGAGAGTTGATTTATGTAAATGATAGTGCTGAAATTACATAAACAGTTAGTATGGGCCAACACTGATTATTTGCTCTACGAGATACAGTTCTAAACACTCTTGAATAGGATACAAGAAAGCTAAGCATTCAATCCAAGAGCTATTTCTTTCTCGCTTTCAGCCTCCTCACGGTTTTGTGTAGGTAGTCCGATCAGACCACTATGAGGGTAAACCAATTAATGAAAGAATCATTTAATATGAAATCTATTAAAAATTAGAAAGTGGTAGCAAATATATGTCTAAATTTTGTTTCATTTATGAATATGATTGGTTTGTTTTATTTACTTGCCCGCCACTACAGATTCAATTCTCAAATATATATGATAAATTTCTCTCAAGTACTTTTAAAATAGAATTTGGGTTCATGCGCACAAGTGGTTCGCTTTTTAAATAATCTGCTCAGACTACTTGTAAGACACCGTGTGCAGGCTTTCTGATGTAGGACTGTATGCTTCAGTAGAGCTGAAGGCATAATAGAAGAGAAGAAAAAGTGGTAGTAAAACCCATGATCTGTTTACCACTGAGGATATTTTACGTCAGCACTGTGGTCGGTGCGAGCGGGAGCGGAATTCGTATCGACCAGCCATTGCTGAGATTCGAACCCGTTTCACGTAATTTCAAGGCAAACGCCCTGAGCCATCACAGTTCTGTCTTTGTTAGTTAAGTAATATTTTGAGTAAGGTACTTAAATATTTAGTAAAAATTAAGAAAAGAAATCAGAGCCGTGTTGGTTCAGGGGATGGAGCTTTCGCCATCCAATGAGGCGAACTAGGTTCGAATCCCAGTTGATACGAATTCCGCATCCAGCTTGCACTGACCTCAGTGCTGACGTGAAATATCTTCAGTGGTAGACGGATCATGGGTTAGAGTCCCTTTGCCCTCACGCTAACTGTGACAGGTTCTCGTGATCTCCCTCTCCATGTAACGCAAATACGGGTTAGCTCCATTAAAAAGTTCTGCACGAAGGCAAAATTTCTCCCAATACACGATCCAGGAGTCCCCTTGTCTTCTGGATTGGGTTCAAAATGACAAGGCTACGGAGTTAAACATTAGTAGTCGTAAACCCATAAAATTGGGTCGGTTGTTCAACGACGGCTATAAAAAAATCAAAATATTGGTTATATTAAAAATTTAAAAAAACTCATTTTTTAACACATGTTATCAGGTAAATTTTGAGCCCTGTTTGAGTTAAACATAGTACTCTTTATTTAATTTAAAGTTTATTATTTACGTAAGCTAGTTTTTTAAATTTATCTAAATACTGATTTTTAGTTTCCCCTTTGTGACTGCCACATTATATCCGCCATTATTCAAAATAAACACTAATATTTTTTTTTTCATTTTCAGTGCAAGGGATTTACTCTCTTTAAGAAATGCTATTATTCAATAAGTATAACTTACATCTGAACTGGATTTGTCTAAATTGTCCTGGATGTATGCTAATTCCTCTTTGGAGATTCGGGGATGGACATCTGGTGTGTCATAGACAAGCACTGCCCAGAAGAGAAACCAACAACATCCTAATGTTCCTAAAATAAAACATTGCTATGTATTTTTTTTTAAAATAATGATATATTAAAATTAATTTATATAAATGGAGAATAGCTTGAATAATAACAAGCATAGAAGCTAAAAAACAAACATCGAAACTCTTAAAAATAGTTCAATCTTTGCTTTTAGAAAGAAAAAAAACATTCATGAGCTTACAATTTCTCAAAAATAAATTCGAAGCAAACTAATGTCATGGAAATAGTTGAATTCTGTTAAGGATTTCAAAATAAAGATTAATTATATTCAGTATCATTTGACATAAAAATATTGCTCGAGGTCAATTCCTGATAATTTCAGATTCCACGCACCCATAATCCTCAATTTTCCTCGTTAAAATATTATTTCCACAGTACCTATAATATGTATCTTGGTATTTACCAAATATCGCATTTATAGCAATAGATGTGTCTTGATAACGACTATTGCTTTTACCATTCTTGTTTCTCTTCAATTTAGTTTTTATTTTATTCATATTTTTCATATTAATTTGTGTTTATATATACACCATATATATATATATGGTGTCTCAGTTAAACGTTTCAGAACTCCTTCAGAACTCCTAAGAGAGGTAGGGGGCATCCTGACGACTCGAAATCATATAGCAATGCGGGGTCGGAAATGCTTTTCTGAAACGGTGATGTACGCAGAAGCACCTTAAAGAAAAGAGACCAGTAAGTGAAAATTCGTTTTAATAATACATTGAAAAAATTATATGGCCTCCTCGGTCACCCGACCTATCATGTCTTGATTTTTATTTCTTGGGTCATATGAAAGCACTGGTTTATGGCACCCCTGTTGACAATGCTGAGGAGCTGGTTGCAAGAAACGCAGTAACTGCCGGCGTGATATGCCTGGAGTATTGCAGAATGTCCATGAGCCGGAGATGTGAGGTGTACATTGTAGCCGGTGGCAGAAACTTCGAAAACTTACTTTGACCCATGTACCATATAATTTTTTCAATGTATTATTA